AAGGTTGGGGTGGAAGGTGTTAGTGAAGTGTATGAACTGTTCGAGCTTCTCATGGGTGCACGAGGCGGCGCTGATACAGTCACCAATGTAACGGAGGAAGAGGTGGGGTTTAGGGCCGGTGTAGGTACGGAAGAGGGATTGTTCCACGTAACCTACAAAGAGGCAGGCGTAGCTTGGGCCCGTGCGGGTACCCATGGCTACCCCCTTTGTCTGTAGGAAGTGGGAGGAATTGAAAGGGAAGTTGTTGAGTGTGAGGACGAGTTCGGCTAAGCGGATGAGGGTATCAGTGGAGGGGGACTGGTCGGGCCTGCGGGACAGGAAGAAGCGGAGGGCCTTAAGGCCATCTGCATGGGGAATGCAGGTGTAGAGGGACTGGACGTCCATGGTAAAGATGAGGTGTTGGGGACCGGGGAATTGGAAGTTCTGGAAAAGGTGGAGGGCATGGGTGGTGTCACGGACATAGGTAGGGAGTTCCTGGACCAAGGGGGAGAAAATGGAGTCTAGATAGTTGGAGATCAGTTCGGTGGGGCAAGAGCAGGCGGAGACAATCGGTCGACCAGGGCATTCAGGTTTGTGGATTTTGGGAAGGAGATAGAAGCGGGCAGTGCGAGGTTGGGGAACGATGAGGTTGGAGGCCGTGGGTGGGAGGTCATCTGAGGTGATGAGGTTGTGGATGGTTTGCGAGATGATGGTTTGGTGCTCAGGGGTGGGGTCATGATCAAGGGGGCGGTGGGAGGAGGTGTCGGAGAGTTGGCGTCCGGCCTCGGCGATGTAGAGGTCAGTGCGCCATACTACAACTGCGCCTCCCTTGTCCGCGGGTTTTATGGTGAAGTTGGGATTCACAAGTTTCAAAATCTCCCCTCCCCCTACCGCATCCCAAAACCAGTCCAGCTCGTCCCTGCCTCCCTAACCTGTTCTTCCTCCCACCTATCCCCTCCTCCCACCTCAAGCCGCACCTCCATCTCCTACCGATCAACCTCATCCCGCCCCCTTGACCTGTCCGTCCTCCCTGGACTGACCTATCCCCTTCCTAACTCCCTACCTACACTCACCTTTACTGGCTCCATCCCCGCCTCTTCGACCTGTTTGTTTCCTCTCCACCTATCCTCTCCTCTATCCCTCTTCTATCCGCCTCCCACTCTCTCCCTATTTATTTCAAAACCCCCTTCCCCTCCCCCTTTTCTGATGAAGGGTCTCGGCCCGAAACGTCAGCGTCTCTGCTCCTATGATGCTGCTTGGCCTGCTGTGTTCATCCAGCCCTGCACCTTGTTGTCACTGTATTCTGCACTCTGTTCTGTTACCCTGATGCAGTTTGTATGGTACAATCTACCTGTATAGCAGGCAAAACATCATGTTTTATTGTTGCTCGGTACATGTGACAACAATAAATCACTCAATCAATTAAAAATCCAGTGTGAAAGAATAAGTCACATTCACATACCATTTTGCCTTTCAGAGCACCCTAAAAGGGGAGGATGATGAGTTAGAAGTCATGGTATATGTTGGTACCAACGATATGGGCAAAGTGAGGCACGAGGTCTTGCAACAAGAATTCAGGGAGTTCGGCAGTAGATTAAAAAGCTGGACCTCAATGATTGTAATCTCTGAATTATTCCCAGTGCAACATGCTAGCAAGTTTAGAAGTAGGAAAATAGGACAGATGAAAGCGTGGCTCAAGAGCTGATGAAAGAGGGAGTGTTTTAGATTCCTGGATCACTGGGACTGTTTTTGGGCAAGGTGGGAAATGTACAAATGGGGCGGTCTGCACCTGAATCACATTGGGACTAACATCCTCGCAGGTAGGTTTGCTGGTGCTGTTAGAAGTTTAAACTAGTCTGGCAGGGGGAGGAGAGACAGAATATTGATGGAACAGAGACACATAATGTTACAGCAAAGGAAGCAAGTCACAGAGTTCAGCTATGTTGAGTGTCAAGAGAGTAAGGCAAGGTGGGATGGACTTTAATGTTAGCAGTGTAATAGGTAAGACTGATGTGGTAATGGTGTGGATTGATAGATGGAAGCATAATATTGTTGCCATCACAGAAACATAATTGAGGGAAGGGCTGGACTGGCAACTCAACATTCTGGGCCTATGATCTTTAGGCAAGGCAGAGGTGGGTGTAAAAAGGGTCGTGGTGTAGCACTATTTATTAAGGAGTCAATTACTGTAATAAGGAGAGATAATATAGAGTCATAGAATCATACAGCATGGAAAGAGACCCTTCAGTCCAACCAGTCCATGCCAAACATAATCCTAAACTAAACTAGTCCCACCTGCCTGGTCCTGGCCCATATCCCTCCAAACCTTTCCTATTCATGTACTTACTCAAATGTCTTTTAAATGTTGCAATTCTATCCACATCCACCACTTCCTCAGCAAGTACATTCCACACGCAAACAACCCACTGTGTAAAAAAAATTGTCCCTCATGCTTTTTTTTAAATCTCTCTCCTCTCACCTTAAAAATGTGTCCCCTAGTCTTGAAATCCCCCATCCTAGGGAAAAAAAACAACATTAACCCTATCTATACCCCTCATTATTTAATAAACTTCTATAAGGTCGTTTCTCAACCCCTTACGCTCCAGTAAAATAGTCCCAGTGCTACACCAACCTTTCTTTATAACTCAAACCTTCCATTTCCAGCAACATCCTGGTAAATGTCTTGGAAGGGTCCTTAAACGAGCTTCTGTGGGTAGAACTTATGTTAAGGGGGCAGTCACTCGACTGGGGGTGTATTATAGACCCCCAAAGAGTCAGCAGGAAATAGAGGAGCAAATATGTAGACAGTTCACAGAGGTGTGTAAAAGTAATAATCAGATAATTACACTAGATTTCAACTTTCCCAACATAAATTGTGATAGTCATACTGTTAAAGGTTTAGAGAGTGCAGATTTCTTGAGATGTATCCACGGGAGTTTTTAGTATCAACATGTAGAAGGTCCAACTAGGGACAGTGCAATGCTGGATCTGCTTCTGGGGAAAGAAGCCAAACAAGTGCCTGATGTGGCAGTGGGGAAAATGTTTTTGCGATAGCGACCATAACACTGTAGAGTTAAAATTTGTTCTAGACAGGGAAAAGATGGCCTGCAAAAGATGGCTTTGGATTGGGGAAAGACAGATTTTATTAAAATAAAGCAGGATCTGGCCACAGTAGACTGGGCACAGCTCCTTACAGGTAAGTCTACAGCAGAGTAATGGGGCATTCAAAAAGAGTATAGGTCCAACATGTACCCTTTAGAGGGAAATGTTGGAGCAATAAGTTCAGAGAACCCTAGATATGTAGGACAATTCACTACTGGATAAAGAAGAAGCGTAGGGCTTTTAGCAAGTCCAAAGGGAGCAATTCAGCTGCAGCCCCACAGGAATGCAACAAGTGCGGGAGTGAACTTAAAAAAGCAAGTAGAAGAGCAAAATGGGAGCACCAGAAAAGACTCACAAACAGGATTAGGCAGAATCCTGGGAAACTTTATAAATACATTAAAGGGAAGAAGTTAACCAGGGAACAGGTAGGGCCTGTTAGGGACCAAGGGGGCAGCCTGTGTGTGAAGCCATACGATATTGGAATGGTGTTGAATGTACACTTCTCCTCAGACTTCACTCTGGAAAAGGAGAATGTAGGTGCATAATTCAGGAAAAGAGACTCTGAGGAACTTGCACAGTTTGCCATAGGAAATCTGGAGGTATTGGAGGCTCTCGCGGGCTTAAAAACAGACAAACCCCCCCTGGCCCAGATGAACTGCACCCCAGGCTGCTGAGAAATTGCAGGGGCTCTGACACAAATTTTTAATTCCTCTCTGGCCAATGCGGGTAAAGTGCTGGAGGACTGGAGACAGCTAATACAGTTCCACTTTTTAAGAAGAGTGGTAGAGATTAACCAGGCAATTACAGACCAATGAGTCTCACTTCAATGGTAGGCAAACTACTGAAGGAAACTCTGAAGGAATGCATTAATACCTACTTAGAAAGGCATAGGTTAATTAGGTATAGTCAGCATTGCTTTGTCAGAGGGAGGTCATGCCCAACAAATTTGTTACAATTTCTCACAAATGTGATCAAGTGTGTGGATGAAGGAAGTTCAGTTGATGTAGTTTATAAGGATTTTAGCAAAGCTTTTGACAATATCCCACTTGAGAAACTGATTGGGAAGGTTAAAGCACATGGAATTCAGGGAAACTTGGCAAGATGGATCAGAAACTGGCTTAATAATAGGACATAAAGGATAGTGGTAGAAGGCTGTTTGAGTGACTGGAGGCCTGTGTCCAGCAGTGTACCACAAGGATCACTACTGGGACCCTTATTGTTTGTTATATATATAAATGATATAGATGAAAATGTTGGGGGAATGTTAAGCAAATTTACAGTGACACCAAGATTGGTAGGGTGGTTAATAACGAAGATGGATGTAGGTTATAGGAAGATGTAGATGGGTTGATCAGATGGCCAGACCAGTGGCAGAAGGTATTTAGCCCTGATAAGTATGAGGTGATGCACTTTGAAAGAAGAAACAAAATCAGAGAGTATTTAATGAATGACAGGACACCGGATAACTTAGAGGAACAGAGGATCTTGGCATAATTACTCACAGACCCCTGAAATCGGCAGAGCACATGAATAGGATAGTTAAGAAGGCATATGGGACATTTGCTTTCATCAGATGTGGTTTAGGCTATAAGAGCGAGGAAGTAATGTTGGAATTGGTCATTGGTCAGGCCACAGCTGGAGCACTGTGTGCAGTCACCTCAATACAGGAAGGATGTGATAGCACTAGAGGGGGTACAGAGGAGGTTCACCAGGATGTTGCCTGGGATGGAGAAATTGAGCTATAAGGAGAGACTAGATAGGCTTACATTGTTTCCTTTACAGCAGAGAAGACTGAGGAAGGACATGATTAAGATGTATAAGATTGATGGGCATGTACATGGTAAAGAGAGCAGCTGTTCCCCTTGGTTGAGGGGTCAGTCGTGAGAGGGCATAGTTTTAGGGTAAGGGGCAGGGGATTCAGAGGGGATTTAGGAAAAAACTTTTGCACTCAATGGGTGGTGGGAATCTGGAATACACCACTTGAGAAGGTAATGGAAGCCAGAAACCCTACAACTTTTAAAAAATATTTGGGTGAGCACTTCAAATATCATAACATTCAAGGAAATGGGGCAAGTGCAGGAAATTGGGACTAGTGCGCATTCAGTGGTAGTTATGTTGGTGCAGACTCGATGGGCCGAAGGACCTTTTCTGCATTGTATGAATCTATGAATCTTCCACAGCCTCATCAGGTGGGGTCATAGTCAATGGAATGACTGGGTTCATGGAGTTTAGAGGGATTACAGTTTTCCAGGTGTCCAAAATGCAGGAACAAATCTAATTTAACAATCTAACCCTACGTGCAAGTATTTGAACTTAAAGAATGCATGCAGTTCTCAAAATGTTATGCAAATATTACATACCATCAGGACATTTCATCATTGCATTATAAGAACAAAATAAGTACTTTGTATGTGATTAAAAACGCACCTTATCCCACAATAGCATTTTTAAATTCAACTCTTCATTGCAAATGTAGTATTAGCACAAGCATTATTTCAAATAATGAAATAAATACTCACCCTTTTATTAGCTTTTTGTGAGAAAACAGTAGTTTCGTAAATGCAGTAAAAACAAATGAACAATATCATTACAACTACCAAATTCAAGAAAACTCTCAAGAGGTAGATTCTGAACTTTTCCTTCTTCGTCCTATCAGCAATCTTCTGTTTCATTCTTTCTTCGTTCAAGTCAGTCTATTGCCAAGAAAACTGGTTTAATTCTTCAATTCTTGATAAAAACAATAGAAATTACTGACAGTGTGTTTGTCAAAGCTAAATTTTCAGAAAGTGAGCATTTAAAAGAGAAATTGCACATTTTAAAATGTTAAGACTGCATTCAAGCAATAACTTATTAATCCAATACAAACTTAACCTTAGCAATACCACAGACAATCCTGTATCAATTTAAAACACAAGCTTTGGAAATGCCTCATATTGCCATGATTCTGATTTTACAGCCTGATTCATGTCTACTCAGATTGGTTTGTGAAGTTAGTTCAGTATGTTGGACATGTTTCGTAGCAGAATCGTCTTTCGAACTGACACTCCACGATTGTAAAGGAGAAAAATATAGTTAATCTGACAATTCAACCCAGAAGTTGGTCTTTGCGGGAGAACATACAAAAGTATGCATCAAAAATGGCAGAAACAGCACTGAAACATTGAAAGTTTCTGGTTCTGTGTTTCATTGACCAAAACTCAAGATTAAAAGGAACTAAACAAATTTAATATTGGGAGAGATACAGACACGAAATGACAGGCTATTTGACAACTGAGAAAAGGTTGAAAATATAGTTATAGGTTGTGAGTCATTCAGACAGTTAATGGCATTTTAAAACCACCAGTAACAGTCTTTGACAGCATTTAAAATGACATCATAACTGTATCAGTGTGAACACGGACCCAAGTTACTGCATCTTTGGAGGGAAATATTCTGGAAATTTGGGAACAAAGTTTGGTGCTCCTTTAGAACTTCATACTCTAATGGGTAACTGCCATTTTTGCCAGTGGCAGAAGCCTGATGATTGAAGTTAAGTCACACATTATACACCCCACTTTTCCATCGATGGCTATGGAAAATCAGGCAGATGTGCAACAGGAGATAACAGACCGGCTCCATCAGTTCTCCACCTATGCACCTAATTTACTCAACTCCACCAAATTCTCAGGCACCTTTAAATTTATCCCCTAAATTACTTTCTTCTCAAGCTTTTGCCCCTCCCTGCTATTCAAATATTTGTGTCCTGTATCATGACTTCCTACAGTTGTGTTTTCCATACAAACATTTCTTCATAACTTAATTCGAAAATGCCTGAAATTATATGGAATAGTCTTCTCTAAACCCTTTCCATCATGTTCTGATTCTTTAAGATAAAGTGATCAATAATCCATTGCAAACGAGAGAATGAACCTCAATACTGATCTGTACAATGTCAGTGCAACTCGTTGATATACATGGTAGACATCCATTTAGACACATAATAACATGACAGAGATAGTAAGAACTGCAGATGCTGGAGTCGGAGATTTGCGGGTGGCATTATTGTGACACTGGAGGAGGCCCAGGATGGACATGTCACCCAGGGAGTGGGAGAGGAAGTTGAAATGGTTCGCAACCAGAAGGTGTTGTCGTTTGTTGCGAACAGAGTGCAGATGCTCTACAAAACGGTCTCCGAGCCTCCGCTTGGTCTCACCGATGTGGAGAAGGCCACATCGGGAGCAGAGCATGCAATTGACCACATTGACGGATGTGCAGGTGAACTCCTATCTAACATGGAAGGTTCAATTTGTGCCTTGAATGGAGGTGAGGGGGGAGGTGTAAGGGCAGGTGTAGCACTTCCTGCTGTTGCAGGGAAAGGTGCCGGGGGTGATGGGGTTAGTGGGGACTGTAAAGTGGACCAGGGAGTCGCGGAGAGAGCGGTTCCTACGATAAGCAGATAGGGGTGGGAAGGGAAATATATCTTTCATTGTGGGGTCGGATTGTAGGTGGCGGAAGTGGCGGAGAATGATACAATGGATACAGAGGTTGGTGCAGTGATATGTGAGGACAAGGGGGATTCTGTCTTTATTTTTATTGGGGAGGTCGGTGGGCTGGAAATAGATGTCAGTTTCGAGGTGGTCACCAGAGACAGAGACGTCCAGGAAGGCAAGGGAGGTATCGGAAATGGTCCAGGTAAATTTGAGGTTAGGTGGAAAGTGTTAGTAAAGTTGATGAACTGTTCAAGCTCCTCGTGGGAGCACAAGGCAGCACTGACACAGTCATCAATGTAGCGGAGGAAGAGGTGGGGGTTAGTGCCAGTGTAGCAGTGGAAAAGGGACTGTTTCACGTATCCTACAAAGGGGCAGGCATAGCTTGGGCCCATGAGGGTGCCCATGGCCACCCCCTTAGTCTGTAGGAAATGGGAGGAGTTAAAGGAGACTTTCCTGCTCCTCTGATGCTGCCTGGCCTGCTGTGTTCCTCCAGCTCCACACTGTGTTATCTAACAACATGACATGGCTGACTGGATAGTTTTAGCATCTTTTCCCTTAAAAGAGCGTGAAACTTCTGTTTTAATTAAACTTTTGTTATTTCACTTATTTATTAGCTTTCTTACTTAAGCCTGGTTTAGTTTGTGCAATTCTTCCTTCAAATTTATTTAGCAGTGCTCTTTAGGAAAAACGCTTGCTCTATCCCTCTAAGATATAGTTCACCTTAAAATAAAACTTAACTGCAAGACATTGCAGTTAGTTAATGAGATTATTTCCATAAAATTCAGGAATCCTAGTACAAAATACAAGAAATTTACTAATGCAAATATCAGTTGCAATTGAGTTCTAAACTCTTTTCTTATAAATCGCTCATTCGAACTTCCAATCTAGGTTGCTTGTAGTGGGAAAGGGAGGGCATCATTGTTAAGTCTGAAGTTCAGCAAAACAAGTCTCTTCCTCTTGTCTTTTAACATTTATTATTTCTGGTACACCATGAGATTCCCTTTGGAGTTGCAAAAGTATTTGTCATGATTGGCCATGCTTAGATCTTTGTGGAGAATTTAGATTTGTGTATCATGCTGATCAGAGGCTCTCATAGGAAGCCATTATGACAGAGTCAAGCATTCTTCGTGGCCTCAATATCTTGTGAAGCAGCAGACCTGCTTGAATCATTAACTTAACTTACATGCAAATTATGACCAATGTAGATCATGCAACCCTTCAAGCCTAATCTATCATTCAATAAGATTGATGTGTTTTGTGTTTGAAAGTCTACATTTCCATCTATCCTCAATAACCTTTCATCCACTTGCCAAACAATAATCTAAATTTGCCTTAAACATATTCAATAATTCTACCTCCATCACTTTGTGAGGCAGAGTTGCACAAACATTAGAGATAAATAAAACCTTAAGTTTGTCTTAAAAGAGCAACCTTTAATTTGAAAACTGTGGCCCTCAGTTCTAAAACAAGGTTGCTGGAAAAGCTCAGCAGGTCTGGCAGCATCTGTGAAGGAAAAAACAGAAGTTCTGAGGAAAGGTCACCGGACCTGAAACGTTAACTCTGTTTTTCCCTTCGCAGATGCTGCCAGACCTACTGAGCTTTTTCAGAAACCTTGTTTTTTGTTCCTGATTTACAGCATTCGCAGTTCTTTTGGTTTTTACCCTCAGTTCTAACCTCACCCACACCATATAACATCCTTTCCACATTCACCTTGTCAAGTCACCTTTCAGGATTTTACACCCACCAATCAAGTCATGTTTTGCTTTTCTAGACTTCAATGAAAACAAGCCCAGTCTGTCCAATCTTTCCCCTCAAGGCAGCCCACTCAAACTTCCTGTGAACTGCCTTCAATCCACTTACATCTTTCCTTAAATAAGGACAGCAAAACTACACACAGTATTTGAGGTGTGATCAAAGAGAGATTTGATCAGTTAGGACTACATTTACTTGTTTACAGGAGTGAGAGGGAACCTCATAAAAACCGATGAAACTCCAACAAGCTTAGAAAGGGTAAATGCAGGAAAGATGTTTCCGATGACTGGGGAGGCCAGAACCAGGAGTCACAGTTTAAGAGTATGGGGTACACCATTTAGGACTGAGATGAGGAGAAATTTCTTCAATAGTGAGTGGTGAGCCTGTGGAATTCTCTGCCACAGAAAGCGATTTCTGTTTCCTAACCCTAACTTTATTGTACTGAATATTATCAAGAAGGAGTTGGATTTGTTTTTTTAAGTTCAAAGGGATCAAAGGGTATGGGGAGAAAGTGGGAACAGGGACTTGGATGATCATCCACTGTTTTCCTTTAGATTTTCCCTAGGAGTAGCTGTTCCCAGTGTACAGTGGCCAGATCCTGCCTTATTTTAATGAAATCTGCCTTTCCCCAATCCAAAGCCCTTTTTTCCCAGACCATCATTTTCTTATTTTCTCCTTATTCTATAAAGGAACCATTAAAAAAAGTACTTACTTTCAGTTCATACTGGAGACTGCTATGCTTCAGCTCTGCAGCATGCTGGTCAGTGATGCAAAAGTCCCAACCAGCAAAAATCTTATTACAAAAACTCTGAAATCGATCTTCAGATCTTATGAAGCTTTGCTTGAAACCTTCCACAGCCCTAAGAAATTGACACAAGATAAAAGTGGAGAGGTAAAAGTACGAATTCCAAACTCACTTTTAAAATAATACTTGCAGCTAGCAAAATATAGTCAATTTCAGAGTGCTAAATTTCAGCTCCAATCAAATAGGAAAAGAGCTGGACTACAAAATATTTAATTTTGAATAGTGTTACTTAAATGGAAAATGCAGTCTGCTTATATATTACATATTGTGCAGAAACTCTACTGCAACTGACCAAGAGATTAAACTGTTCTATCCAGATTTTTACATAGAGTTTCTGCAATGCGTTTTATAAAGCTGCTAATTATTTATTTTTAGAATACTATTCATTAAGTACATTCATGTACAAGGTATTGAAGGGGCTGCTTGATGCTAGAAATTTTTCCCGCTGGTCAGGTATCTAAAACTAGGGAGTTACAAATTTAGTAGAAACAGCTGAACACGTAGGACTGAGATGAGGATAAACGTCTTCACTGAAAGAGTTATGAAACTTTGAAATCCTCTGTCCAGAGGGTTGTGAAGTCTCATTGTTGAACATATTTAAGGCTAAGATTGATAGATTTCTGGTCTCTAGGGAATCAAGTGATATGGGATCCATTGGCAAAGTGGAGTTGAAGCGCAAAACCATCCATGACTTTATTAAATGGCACAGCAGACTTGATGGGCTGTACATTCTACTTTTGCTCCTATCTCTAGTGTTTAACCTTTGTGTGATGGTTGATCTTTGCATGCAGGACTTATTACTTTAATATATATACACTAGGCAATTTATGGCAGTTGGAAGAGGAATATCTGTTATATTTTAAGTCATCTGGATATTAAACAGCAGATACTCAAAAGATTCTTTCACACTTACTAAACTAATTTAAATATGGTCAAATTGAGAGAGAGTTACTCCACAGATAATGTAAAACAAATTATCATTTAAACCAGAACAAGATCATACAAAATTAAGAAAACAGCTGACAGTAAACAGTAATCCCAAAGATATTCAGTCAGGATTTCGACAGCATGTTACTTAAAAATTGAACGCGTGGTAGTACCATGCAGATTTATAGTTTATACATTCATTTGAATTATATTAAATTTAGAGCTGGAATAGGAACTGAAGCAGTTACCTTTTCACTACCCAGAATAAGCTCAATAGGATATAGAAGCACGTTGCCATGAAGTATGCAAGTGATAGGTTATAGTGAAAATTGCCAGAACTCAAATAATCAAATTTATAAAATCCATAAAATAGATATGTCTGCTCCAAGAATCCCTAAAACAAAAAAAAAGCACAAAATATACTAGTAAATGGAGAAGAGATACTCGAAAACAGGTCATTCATAGAAACAAAAGGCTAAAGCCTAAATGATGCATGTTTCAACAGTAGCACTTACAGTTTCACGTGGAGTTGGGAAGTGCAGGTGATGAGCTACACAAATTAGGAAGGCATTTTACATGGGTTCTCCATTAGCAAATACTTCACAACCATTTTTAGTTCACAAATATTAAGTGGTATAATAACTATATAATTACTTGCAAAAACAAATTACTTCAGATGCTGTAAGCTTCAAATATAAACAGAAATTGTGCGTGGAGCATTTTCATTAAAATGGATGAATTAGTCATGCAAATCGATTTAAATTGGTATGATACAGTTGGGATTACATGACTGCAGGGCAACCAGGGATGGAAAGTAAGTAAGCAGGAGTATTTAAATTTTGGGAAGGACTGACAAAAAGAAAAAGAAGAGGTGGGAAGCATTTGTGGTAAAGAGGAAATCAACGCAATAGTGAGGAAGGATATTAACAACATTGGTGAAGTGGAATTTGCATAGGTAGAACTTAGATACACCAAGAGCCAGACAGTGGGATGGACAGCAGGCTGGAGGCCTGGAGTGGAGTGGGCTGGAGGTCCAGAGGAGGATTGACAGCGGGCTGGAGGCCCAGAGCAGAGTGGGACGGCCAGCGGGCGGCAGGCCCGGGCTGAGCAGGACGGCCAGCGG